GTTTTGTTTTTTAAAAAAAAAATATGACCCATGCATAATTGAAAATTTTATGAATAGGTTCATTATTTTTTTCAAATTAAATTTTAGAATCAAATGTTTCTGGTAGAACTTAACTCAATTTTATAAAATACTAGGTTATGTAAAGAACAATAACAAAATTAAGGTATCATGTGCGGCTGCATTCTTTTGTTTTTTCTGCATGTTGGTGTGGTAACCAAATGATTACAGAGACTTTTTATAATGTGCTTATCATTGGTTTCAGGAAAGTCATTCCATAAATGAACCAAGTCATCATTCTAAAATAAGCCTTAGCCATTTATAATCTGTACAATTAGATACATGATTAGCCGTTAAAGAAGTAGCTAATGAGTAAAAACAAAATTATTCAAAAAAAAACAAAAAACAAAAAAGAAGTAGCTAATTAAACGAAACAATGGTAGATTTTCCATTTGTTTATAGCATAGAAATTTTGTAGGTATACATGGGATTTAACTTTCGCAGAATAGGTCGGTAGGGCGCTAATGGTTTAGTGAATCATAGGGTGTAATTCATTTGCAAGAGTATATAAATGCAAAGGCACGTTACAGAAATTGCGATGTTTGTATCCGTTGCACCTTTATTACTATATTAATATTGGGATAAGAATCTAAAGTTCTAAATTATTGAAGTGTTAGAAGATTCTATACTTATATTTGCGAAGTCGAAAATCTTATGTGGCATCGTGAGAGCCTCTCTCAGACTTGACGTGCCGAAAATATCCTTAATAACTGTCGAAATTACACCCCTTGCAATCAAATTTTCGGGAGCCGTATTTTGTTCATCCAAAATAATTTGGTTTGGCCCAAAAAATTATTGTAGCCCATGTTCATTAGTCGGTTTTGGAAAACCCTAATTGATACCTCCATAATTTATTATATATAATCCTTTCGTAAGACTTTCTGTTTTCTTCCAATATTAGGTTTTCAATTTTTCTTCCTTATTTTTACGTTTTCTCTACTTTTTTGTTTGCATTCTCTTCCGATGAATTAAAGCATATCATAATTAAGTTTAGTTGATATAATACGTGTTATGATGTTTAGTTGATATTATCATCGGCTTATGTGTGTCTCGAGCAAAGAAAAGTTCCTGGAATCGGTTGAGTACATCAGTTGGAGCTCGATGGTGATAGATGAAGAAGCCGAAGATCACCGTTGGGTAATCGTGGTTTCGATTCTGGTCCGTAAGATCATCGGACTTCTCCGTACGCCTATGGAATACACAMGTTTCATCGTTGAKTTTTTACTCAATCTCTTCTCTGCAAATGGTGGCTTCTTCGGTTTGCTTTTCGGGTTAATTCAATGTACTGATAAAGTTTCAAACTTTGATTGGAAAAAATGGCATTTTATGAGTTTAGATGATTTTTAATTGTGTTTGCAGCGAAAGTTGTGGTACCAGAAAGAGGCACTGTGARYTTTGTTAYTACAATTMACAACTTGATYYGAGAATTGATKTGTATAAAGGTTGGAATTTCGTCGAACACTTGGAGAGCATGGATTTGGTCAATTCGGATTCTTCAGGAAGCGTTAGGCTCGAACCGGGAAGTCGTGGGCTTATGGATTTGTGTGTGATGGCTTCGAAGCTTGCGTATGAGAACGCCAAGGTTGTTGAAAATGTTGTTAATCTCCATTGGAAGGCAAGTTAGCTAAAAAAARAMAGACTTTAAACACATTTCATGAYAACAAAAAAAAGTTTCCAAGTTTGTAAATTTTCCATCTCTCTGCAGATGAATTTGATGGAGTTCTTGGATTGTTGAAATMGTGAGAATTAGATTGCAAGATGACTAAATGTGTCGTCAGTGAACATATTTTAATTAATTATTCTGATGCAATATACATGTTTTCTTACTTTWTYCAGGAAGATTTTYTTTCGTTTGTGTTATTCCAACATRACCYGATGCATTATGATTTCGGYTATGTATTTTATTCTATTAATATGTTCTTACTTAATTATTTTTTTTATGTGTTCTTGATTTTTATGTCGTGGAGGTTGTTCAATTAGTTAGCTTCTTCAATACAATACCAATCTAACAAAATGGAATCARAGAGCAGTGAAATAAGTAGAAGCAGGACACTTTAACCCCACACTTATAATATTTGGTAAGGCGCCTTAATARTTGATTGTACTTAATATTGTTGTTACTTTTGCTTTATCTTCATATTAAGAGAAACACTAGAAGAATCATTTAGATTTAAGATATTTATGATATGAACAAAAAACATAAATCATAGTCATAAAATTCTACTATAAGAAATTTTTAGTTACTACTTTCCATTT